CGAGACAGATCTCAGATCCAAAGGGTTCCAGACCAAGCAAACACTGCAGGGAGGGAGTAGAAAACCAGTGAGGGGCCTATAAAACCTGTCCCACAGAGGAAAAGGTCAGGGGCTAGAGAGAATTTGTGAAGGTTTTTGGAAAGAGCTTTTAGCACAGGGTGAGTCCAGCTCCCCCTCCCATGGGGCTAATGGCCTGCCTCTCACCTAACCCCCAGGGAGAGTGGTACAGTGGGTCCCTCAGAGAGGGAGGCTTGGAAACCTGATCCCAGCTTGAAAAATAAAAAACATGAGCTATATGGGCTGGCTGGGGGGCCCTGGCTGCAGAGGAAAAACAGAGCAGCTGTGGCCTTGTAATTCTGGGGACAAGGAAGCCCCAGATGCTTCCAGTGGACCAGCTGTGGCTCTCTGAGAGGAGACTGGCCTGGGGTCATCTGAGGAGCTCTCCAAAACAGACAGCGGCAGAGAGAAGGTAGGGCACTTCCCAGGACAGGCGGGGCAAGCCACCAGCCAGAGTAGGAAAGAGTTCAGCCTGTTTGGGGGAGCTGGGGACAAGAGGGGGAGGACTCCTCAGAGACAGGGTATCCAGTGCACCCAGGAAGGACCCAACAGAGTTCTCTCAGGCCCGGAAAGCCTGAGGCCTATCCCAGAAGGCGCATGCATCAGGGAGGGCCCCTTGCTCCCTTCCCTCTCCTTCTTCCCTGCTCTTCTCAGTCCTGGAGGAGTCAGAAACCCAAGTGGCAATGGGGGGGGGTCACCAAAGGGGAACACTGGAAAGAGAGGAACCAGTCCCACGCCCACCCCACCGGCAGCCTCCTGTCTGCACCAACCCAGGCTGCTACCATTTGTGCATAGCCCAGTCTACCAAGCTGGAATCCGGAAGCCAACATCTGAGTTGCAAGAGGCTTTATCATTTAACCCAAAGCATTCACCTTTGAAGAAACATCACAGGGGCGCCTGGGCGGCTCAGTGGGTTAAGCCTCTGCCTTCGGCTCGGGTCATGGTCTCAGGGTCCTGGGATCGAGCCCCGCATCAGGCTCTCTGCTCGGCGGGGAGCCTGCTTCCCCCTCTCTCTCTGCCTACTTGTGATCTCTCTCTGTCAGATAAATAAATACTTTGAAAAAAAAACAAAAACAAACAAAAAAGAATCATCAGCTTTCCTTTATAGATAGACCTTCTCTGGTGCATTTTACTTATTTGGATCACTAAGATTTGATGCATGTCCACGTTACCCCACACCTGACAGATGAGTCTGACAGGCAGACACTACACCTCATTCTCCTCCAGTCCTCTCCACGGGACCCGATCACCAGAGACATGCAAAGGCTTGATGACTAAAGCACACTCCTCGGGGACACGCTGATGTAGAAAGCCAAGTGCCGTAGAAGCAAGAGCAGCCCACTCCGTTTTCAGACGGCTCCAGATGAACAAATACATAAACCATCCCTCCGCCTTTTCTCTCCCTGCATGTCAAGCAGTAGGTGGTGCTAAAAAAAAACACCACCTCGTGTTTGCACGGCACTTTATCGTTCCAGGGCCAGCCTCGTGGGCCCCAAGTCACCCTCCACCCCCACACGACCCCAAACCATTGCCACCCCAGTTCCACCCACGTGGCTGCTTTCCTCGCCGGGCAGCCCCATGCCGGCCTCCACCCCCACCCCCCCACCCCGGCGGGGAGTCCACGTGTCACGTGGATTGTCTCGTCACAAAGAACCAGCGGGCCAGAAGTGTGGGCAGAGAGCGGAGGGCCGCGTGTTCAGGCTTTCTGTTTATTATGTTCTCACAGCCTTGTGTATAGTCGAGGTGAATGACAGGATTCCACTTTGCACAGGAATGAAACAACTCAATGAGGACTCCATCAGCCAAGCGGTTCATACGGCAGACGAGCTGCCACGCATCTCCCGTGCACGCCGCGTGACCCGGCCACGCGGCCGCCTCTCCCTGCACGCAGCAGAGGGACGGCAGCAGAAGGGTCCGGAGGGAGGAACCACCACCAAGGGCACGGTGCGCTGAGTCGGCCTGGACCTCACGCCTGGGAAGGCTGGCGGCCCCGTCCTGCAGTCTCCCATCCCGGCCCACAGCATCCTGTGGGGTCCTGAGAGGCCAGGGGGACCGGAAGACATGGCTGCTCTCGGCTGCTTCCTCCACAATCTCATGCCAAGTGGCACAGGTTCTTAGAGGCAGGGGTGGCTCTCCGCCTCCCTTGCTTCTAACCCGGAGAGACACCTACTTAAAGAGGGTGATCCTCGGCCGACTACAGGACAGAGTCAGATGGAACATGGAATTCCTCTGCTTGGCTTGGGAGTAGGCACACACAGGGTCAGGAGAGCTCTGGGCACACATGTCGATGGGGGTCGTCTTGCCCCTGAACGTGCCGCTTTTCACCGTCCCTTCTGCTTCGTGGAGAAGCGGACGCCACGTCAGCCACTTGTCTTTCCCATCCTGTTCCTTCCTCTTCAGTCTTCCCCACTCCTACCCTCTTGACACAATGGGTTCATGTCTTTCCCTCACAGTCCAGGGCCCCAGGGGAATGGGGCCACCCTGGCCCTGCCAAGGAAAAGAACCCAGGCCCTCTCCCTACCCAGAGGCTGGGCCGGCTGCCTGGGCAGAACACCATTTCACAGCTTTGGTTTGCTCAGAGCAGCAAGTTCTGGGGCGAGCACCAAAGAAGAAAATCCACTGGGAACCTTCTAGCTGCCCATCCAGCCTGAGACCGAAGAGGGAATCGTGAGGGCTTAGCGCAGGAACTGAAACCCCACTGTGGCCTTGGAAAAGAAAGCCCCAAAGAGCATGACAGTCCCAGGATGGGACACACCCTTCGCCCACTGCCTGAGTTCCAACTACCCTGTCACATGGCCTTGGACACAGAGGCACAACCTAAGACTAATGACCAGAGGGCATGAACACTCACGAGGGATGGAGAGGCCCAGGAGGCGAGCTTGGAGGAAGCACTACGAATGAGAGACTCGGCTGGCTGCGTGGCAAAACCTCTCTGAATCAGACACCCTCCAGAGCTCCCTCCAGACATCCTCCAGAGGTCCCTGTCATCAGCTGACCGGCTCGCTGCCTCACGCCCCGTGCAGCTGGGGCAGAAACATTTTTATCTCAAAGGAGCACGTCGGACTGAGACAGCACATGGTGCAGCCCCCCAGAGTCTGACTCAAGGCTCGCAGGTTCCCCGTTATGGTGCCTGTTTGCCTCTGCGTGCGCTCTACCCTCTAGGCCTAGCCCCCCCCCCCGTTAATCTCGGCCGTGCTCCTCCTCACTCCCCAGGCCAGTGCTTCCTGACCTCATCCACACGGAATCACCCGAGTCGCTTTAAACAAACAACTGTTGCCTTGGGTCCCATCCCCAAGCTGTTCTGGGGTGGGACCTGGACATTTAGGTCTGAAAAGTCACCAGGGGATTCCAAGGAGCAGCCAGGGCTGCGAGCCACTGTCTTAGACCATCTTCTTCCCAAGCCTACTGCGTGGGAACTTACTAAAACTGCAGTTTTCTGGGTGCCCCCCCGAGTCTTTCAGATCAGCATCTCTGGGTGTGCGTCCTGAGAATTAGCACTTGTAACAGGCTTTCCCAGTAAGCCTTGGGCACGCTCCGAGGATGCTGGGCGTCCTTACCCCACAGGCACCCTGGGACTACGAAGGGTTGTCATAGATTAGGTTCTATTTGGTTTGCCCAAGGCAACAGGTAATCTCACACTAGCTTAAAAACAGGCTGACACTCAAGTGGGGCTGAAAAGCCACTTGCAGGGTGGAGAGCAGTCCTAAAATCCACCGCTCTGCCTGGCCTCCTGCCCTGGCTTGCCCTGGGTCTTCAAAGTGCCCAGGCCCAGAGCACGCCTTGAGCCCAGAAGGCAGTCCACAGCATGAGCCTGGCATGAGGACCAAAGGAAGACCTTACACGGAAGGGGCCCCTGCAAATGCCCACCTAGTGGGGCAGACGAGGGCCCATGGAAGAGGAACTAGGAGAGAGGGCAGGACAGGGAGACATGGAAGGTCAGGGATGAGGTATGCTTTGATATTGCTCTAGATGTTGTAAACATTTTTCTTTGTTTCATCACAGACCAAAATCTGGGTTGGCATGACCTAAGTGTCTGAACTTAGGCATCGGAGCAGAGAGCTCCGTGCCTTTTGTGGAAAGCAGGACAGAAAGGGTGTGAGGACAGCTCCACCGCATGGGAAGACCATCTCTGTGGGGTACTGGACTCACGCTCACAGTGGTCACATAAGCACGCACGCACGCAGACACTCCACGGGAGTACCATAAATAGAGCTATCACGTTCCTCTACACACAGACACACGCCCACATACCCTCCCATAGCGGCAAAAATCAGGACACCCTAGCTTGGTCCTTCTCGCCTCCCCATTGTTGGGGGGAAGTCACCGGGCGCCATGACATTGCCATCTGCAGCCTTCATTCCATTGGCAAGAACTCCAGGCCTCGGGGGAGGCCACGGCCCAACACTCTTGTGGGGACAGTGGAAGCGGTAAAAAGGCCCCTCTTAGACATTCCATTTTTCAGGAACTCTGTGCTATTCTGACTTACGTGCAGCTCATATTCAACAGTAGAGTTGGCAGAAGTTGCACATTTCATGTGTAAACAATGTTTAAAATACCCTGTTCAAGAATTCGATCATTAAATTAATTCTGGCAGCTTTAGCTAAGCATGGTTTTTTACCAGTGGGGGCAGGGGGACACTACCTGATCTAACTAGGAACACCCGTTCGAGGCTTCAGAGTTCTTGAACATGAGATTTCACAGGATGCTTCAGTGTGAGGGCCCGGTGGCGTCTGTTCTTGCTCTCCTTGGTGGTTCAGACGGACTCGCCAACCCTCGCTTACAGGTATAATGTGTCATGGCAGGGCAATGGACCCTAAAACCAGGGCGACTCAAGAGCCTCCTTGGCCTTGTCTAGCTGCAGCCAAAGAAGAAAGAGTTTCACAGAGCGTCTGGAAAGGAATGCAAATGCTGGAATCTGCTGCATCTAAAGCCCATCACCCCACACGGGGAGAATGCTTCAGCCCAGTTCTCAGTCACCGGAACTCCAGAGCTTGTGCCTAATCGTAGTTCTTTCATTTAGTCAAGCTGAAAGTTTTGGAGATCTGCAATGAATCCAAATCCATTGGCTGTGAATTATCCCAATAGTACCTCCGCCATATTCTCCATGATTTGGTCCAGCTGGAGACTGACCTCTTCTAGACTCCTCTTCCACTTTCTGGTCTCTCTGCTGAGGAGTCACATCTTGGGCGTTACAGACTTGTGCCAAAGTCCACTTTTTCTCAGTCAGCTAGAGCTTTATGCTCGTCCTCCAAGGAAGAGTTTCCTGACACAGTTCCAAAAGCAGCCTCAGGGTACCGTGAAAGCATTTTAGGAAGATTCTCCACAGCCAGATGTTCACAGTGATCTTAGCCTCACCTCCTGTTCCATGTTCAATCCCAAAAGGTCAGAGATCAAGAAGGAAGTTGCTGATTAGCCAAGGTGGCCCCCATGAGAGAGACCTTTCTAAGAAAGCATGCTCCCAGGAAGCAAGCTGGAGAGTTACAGCCTAAATTCCCATTCTCCCCCATCATAATTACATGACCTGCATGGAAGGGGGGACAGGGAGAGACAAGGAAAGTATTAGGCACCATGAGAGCTGTCCATGCTATGGGAATTCACCTCCCTTTGTCAAGCTGTCTGTCAGTCTAAGAGATCATGATGTGTGATGCCTCAGGGAGGTGAGGGCAGAGAATACAGTAAGCAACGGAAAGGATATATGGTGCCCAATTGCACAAAAGTCTACTGGTGCTATGTTCCCTGGTCATTTGACTTCTGGAATACTTCTTGGTAGAATTGAAGAAGATTTGCAAGCTGTATCCTTCTTAAAAGCAGCTCCACACCAGAACTCATGAAAGACATCTCCCAAGACCCTCCCTGGAATTGTGAGGGTAAAAAAGTCTTGTGAATTTCCTAGGCTAAGATGGGCAGTGATCACAGCTTCTCATACTGGTCCAATGGAAATGGAAGAAATAGCCATGGAGTTTGCCTCTTCTGCCAAGGCCACCTATTAATGACAGTGCTAGAGACCTGGGATTCCCCAGAGACCTCTCTCCATTGTGAGGTCCCAGCACCCAGGACTGGCCATTACATTGTGACAGCAAATCACAAACATGAGCCAGAGTCTTTAAGCTCTTCCTCACAGGGGTATGGTACACGTTAGAGTCAGGAATCCTAACTGAGGAGGGTGTGGAAGTGGTGAAAATTGCATTTGCATTATTTACACATAGCCCAGCATAGCAAATCTGCCTTCTCAGTGGCAATGACCCAAGGCATTATGGAGGGCAATTTGCTGACCCAATAAAAGGGTAACAGCAGCAAGGTGCTACCACTAACCGAAACACAAACATGGGTAAATGGAATAGAGTCCAAGCTCTGGTGACTGGATCTTACTTTGGAATGGCATTTCATCCATTTCTCATCCCCAGGCTCCCAACCTAAGTGCCATTGCTTTCTGAACACCTATGACATTTCATGTTAGAATATGGTCTTGGCAGCAAAGGGAGGGGAAAAGCCAGTGATCTCCAAGAGTCCCCATCTGAGGTCTAACTGAGCCTCCTCTGGCTTTGGGACAGCAAATCTAAGTACATTTTGGACCTCAGGAACCTGGGATAAGAGTCTTTCTCCATGAGGCTGTGTACTTTTCCCTGGGCTTGATCAAAGCAAGTCAGGGATGGCTCTTGCATGTTCTTCCTCGTGGCTTCTCGGGTCTGGAAGTCTATGTTTACCTGGAGACACAAACAGAAAGCATGGTCACAGGCCCTCAAGGGCCAAGATGCCTGGCAGCTGCTCCTAGCTACGCAATAATTATTAACGACAGTGTCTTACACATGTAAGCTTATTCATTCTTTTCAAACTGTTTTCTTAGAGGTCATCCCCTTCGATCCCAGCAAGAATCCTGAGAGGTCTGAAGACCCAATATTCCTCATCCCAATTTACAGATAAGGACACTGAAGAAAGGAGATACTGAAAAGCTGGTTAAAGTACTATAGAGAGTTGGTAACAGAGCCAAGGCAAAACCCCAAATCACTTAATTCCTAAGCCAGGAGTCTTCACCATGCCAGGCAAAGAGTAACACTGAAGGTAAGTATTAATGTGGATTCCCTAAAGTAAGCTTGCCCTCTTGTTCTTTCTTAACTACTAAGGAAACAAATGCACTGAGAGGAGAGACTATGGTTATAATGGACATCTCTGTTCCAAGCAGTATTATAAGGAGCCTACAAAGTCCTGGCCACTGGCCAAAGTCGTCCTACGTCTCAAGTCAAAGGATAATTGAAGAGTTTCAGGGATATAATGCACCAAAACTCATAGATAGCAAATATTTTTCTTCTATAAAACCTTCCCAAGTAAAATTCTGTTTTATAACTCAGCGCAGCCATACATAGAAATTCATTTTATTATTATAATAAGTTATCATAAGATAAGAGAAATGACTGTAATTACTCATTAAGGAGCAGTGACAAATGTTGACTAGGTGCTTTATCCCTAATACTCAGAGTAGTCTTGAATGATACGGGGTATTATACACTTCTACACTGGAGAAAATGTGATTCAGACAGACTAGCTAACTTGGCCAAGATCACACAGCTGGGAACAAGTGGATGCTCCTCCCACTAAGGCTTGCTGCCTTCCACTAGGAAACTAACATGGATTCAACGGCATCTATCCTTGCAGAATCCTTATAGAAACACAGGTCCTACAGGCACACGCTTGACAGCTAAAACACTCCCTTGCAGAACTATTTTTTAGAAGTCCCAGGCTTTGCACCTTTAAAGTGATCCTTTTTTTCCCCTCCATTAAGAGCCATCAGAGAGGTAAGGCTCAGTTTAGAAGACAGTACTCATCAAGACTGGCTCAAACCCACACAAGGAGCACAATGGATGGCCAGGAGCCATGGATAGAAGACTCTTGCCACCACCAACACACCTCCCTCGGAGCCTGCACATCCACAAACTCCTCAAAGATCCTGTGGGCCTTGGAGACCAGCTTTGCAGTTGACCTGGTCTTCTTGAATTCCTCACAGGCCAGCCAGAATTCCAGGTTCTCCTCGCTGAACTCTGTCTTCAAGAAGGCGCGGAACGCAGCCACCCCATCTGTGGATGTGGAGGGGGAAAGGAAGACAGATAGGAAGGGGCTTAAGCTCATGAACTGCAGAAGCAAGAGAGAAAGGCAGCCATAATGTGAGACCAGCCCTGACTGTCCAAGCCCCACTGCCCCACATCTGCTTGAAGACCCTACCTCTTAAACACACAGGTACCCTTGGAGACAAGCTCTACTTGGGGCTCAAGGATTGCAGTGATAGGAGGGAGAAATGTTGAGGAAGCCATAGTAATAATGACTATAGGAGGCCCTGGTCACTCTTCATCAACCTTTGGTGGTCACGGCCTGTCCTTTAATGCAGAGTCCTCTGTCCCCTGAGTCCACTGGTGAACCTGTGTTTCTAATTAGGCCAAAGTAATATTTGTAATGCATTTCCTACCCTAATCCACGTTAACCACCCTGAAAAAAACAACCTGTCATAAGACTAACTACAGGAGGGGGTGAATGCCTCAGGACAAATCCTTCACTACCACCAGAAGAAGGCCTGAAAGTACACACTGAAATTCAGTCACTAAAGCCATTCTGTTACCTTCACAGGGTTCCTAGCCTCTTCTAAAAAACTTTTGAGGTGCTATGTTTTAATGGTTTAGCCTCTGGATACTTTGTTTTAAAGGATCTTGCTTATCAAATTACATGTTTTAATTTAGATTAATTATAATTTTCCTCCCAAATGATTTAACAATGAACACATCTTTTTCATTTTTTTTAAAAATCCATGTCATGCATATTGCCAAGGAGAGTTTCCAATCAGAATAAGGTGAGCAGGGTTACCATGTAGATTTGGAAAACAACATCCATTGATAGCCTATACATTCAGCTAATGTTTTTATATTAAAATATAGGTTTTAAATTGTCTTAACCCTCAACACATTCTCCTCTACTCAAATAAGAGCTATTTCTTTCTACAGACTGTCCTCAGGGGATGGGAAGACACAGCCTAGAAGGAAGTTAAAAATGACTCTGTCAAGAATGTTGTTTGTTTTGTTTTGTTTTGTTTTTCTTTTCTGAAACTTGTTAAGAGGACAATATGTCAACAGTTCTAAATTCTGAGTGAGGGGATCACCTGGGCATCCAAGGCCCACAGGTGTGACCCAGGACAACGAGCTGCCCAGGATCGACCCAGGGATTCGTGGTGCCTCCTGCTATCAACATATTTAAATGTTTGTCTTTACCTTTGTGAACCAGTTTCATTTCTAATTAGAAAGTCATGGGGAGGGGGGCACCTGGGTGGCTCAGTCATTAAGTGTCTGCCTTCAGCTCAGGTCATGATCCCAGAGTCCTGGGATCGAGCCCCCCATCAAGCCCCTCATCACATCGGGCTCCCTGCTGGGCAGGAAGCCTGCTTTCCCCCCTCCCACTCTCCCCTGCTTGTGTTCCCTCTCTCGCTGTGTCTCTCTCTGTCAAATAAGTAAGTAAAATCTTAAAAAAAAAAAAAAAGTCATTGGGTATCTTTGTCTTTCAAAATAGATGTGGTAGTGCCCTACACTGGAACAATCGTCATAAAAAACCAAGACTCTTAGTTGCAAGAGCCAGGAACTTGAGAGAAAAGGGTTTTGATGGAATTCCCAAAGTTAAACTTTAAATTGAAAAGAAATCTCAGTTTGGAGGCCTGAGTTTAAAGTCTTTAACATAAGTAGGGTAGCCATGAAGTTTACCCTCCAAGCCAGTACATTGTTGAGAGTGAAGGGGGGCGTGCCTATTAATTACACAGAGACAAGGAGCATAAACCATGCTCACCACAGACAAAAACAAGGACGTATGATCACCTTGAGACAAGACATATAGTTCTCTAAGATAAGGAGTATGGAGAAAGCAGAACATGATGTGAGGTTGTTTCCCATCAGGCAGGATGGAAATAAAATTGCTCCTGTGCCAGGGAAGGAAGAGGAGAGTAGCACAGTTCGGACCATTAGGAGAGTTTGGCCCAGGACTACACGTACCCTCATTCCAACCTTGGGTTTAAAACCCTGAGGAGGGAGTAGAAACCCAAGATAAAATGGGAATCGAAGAGAGCGTAAAACACTAACATGGCAATGATTAGGCAAAGAGATGACCAGAGAATCATTCACTCAGTTTTAACGACCTCTTTTTTTTTTAACTGCTAATATACAAATACATCAGAAAACAGGTCATAAAAATCTGCCCATAAAAATGCCCTGTGGATGCTCTTTTTTGCCACACCTCTCTCCTCCAAGTTCTTACAGATGGACTCCAGAAGTTTCCACAGGCTCTGAGGAACTCAGATCTGAGAGCTCGCCTGCCCTCCAGGAGATTGCCATTGCCTGCAGAAGGGGCCCCTGTAGCAGAGGCCACAGGGCAGAGGCTGGACGGAACACCACCCAAAGCTGTGCAAGCTCCAAGGAGACTCAGTGCCCACGAGAGCCAATGCGGAGCTGGTCCAGCAAGGCAGTCTCTGAGCAGTGACCGGTTCACACATGACAAGAGCCAATGGACGCGATCAGTGAATGCAGGGAGGACATGAGGACCACAGGCCAAAAGCCTTCTCTTGTGGGAAGGGCAGGGGGAGAACCCGAAAACACTGTGCATTTATCGAAAAGAGTAAATTCAAAGTGGCTTGGAAGAGTAACTTGGCAGGACGTCCTCTCTCTCCGGAAGAGAGCAAATACTCCTAATGGCAAAGCTGAAGTTTGTTGCTTGTGTCATATTTTTGTGTTGTTTTCATCGAGCAGAAACAGGCACTTTGTGAGCAACCTGACTCCAGTTACAGATCAAGAAAACTACTTTTCTGCCTCCCCTGATGGTGCTGGTGACGGTAACACCGCTAGGGCAACTCTCCAACCCCATGTAAAACAAGAGACAGACATGATCTCCCATCATCGAAGTCTCCGCTTTGTTGGGCCTTTGTGAGGATTGAAAAAGAGAGAACACCTGCTAGCACTCTCAGGAATGTCGCTGTACTTCTCCCAGTCTTGCAGGGGAAGAAGCTGATGCTTGGAGAACACCTTGACAGAGTTCGAACAGGTAAGACTGTGTAGCATTAAAAATACAACGTATACAAACTCCCAACCCAACATAGCCATGACGCCACCTCCGTTCATTCATTTGCTCATTCACACACCCATTAGGGGGCCCAGGCATTCTGCGAGATGTGCTAGAAACAGGCACAACGAAGCCCTCAGAACTTGCAGTGAAAGGGCCATTTGAGCCAAGAAAATATAATTTGGTAGTTATGGTGTACGTGATAAGTGGGACGGCAGGGGAAGCACGGGTTGCTGTGAAAGCACCCAGCGGGGAAGCCTGAGCCAGATCTAAGGATGGGAGGGAAGACTTGCAGGAGGGAGAGAAGCTTCTCAGCTGGGAGGTGAAGTGGAGCAGCAGGAAGCTTTGTGAAAGAAGGGACGGGAGGGACAGAGAAGAGAATCACGGGAAGGGAGAGCCACACCGGGAAGGCCGGTCATTAAGAATGTCTGAGTTGTTAGAAAGAGTTCAGGAAGACTAGTGTAAACAATGATCGAGCCTACTTACAAGACACATTAAGAGGTCCGCGAAAGAGCCAGAGAGACAGAAGGATAACACAGGACTACAAAAGGCCAGGAAAGCAAAGGTTTCAGGAAGGAAGAAACAGCCGTGTGTCCAGTGCTGCCCAGAGGTCAAGCGAGCTATGGTCTGAGACACGGTTGTCAGATTTGGTATAAGGTTCAGCAACCATGGGCAGCTGAGGCTCTAGTGGTGTGATGGGGGCCCTGGGCACGGGGGTGCACGTGGGCGTGAATAAGAGGAAAGGAAGCAGAAACAGTCCATTTAGATGTTTCTGGCAATATGGGGAGGAGAGAGATCAGACAGCATAACTGGAAGGAAACAGGAAGTCAGGAAAGAAGGTTTTGGGGTTTTCTGGTTTTGTTGTTGTTGTTGTTGTGTGTGTTTGTGTTTTGTTTTGTTCTTTTGTAAGATGGTCTTGAGTGTGTTTGAAAGCTGATCTAATCAGGAAAGACTGGTCGACTAGAAGGAGTTGAAATTAAAGGAAAGAAAGAGTTTAATTGATCAAATGTTGCCCCTCAAAAAGTACAGAAATAAGCCTGAGAAGAGAATTATGACGGAGAGGAAGAGAAAGGGCTACATGTTGATACAGGGAAGTTTCTAGTTTGGGTGCAGGAAAATGAAGGAGTTCCTGCCTGGTTTTAGCTGGAGAAGGTGGTGGGACCTAGGGATGGAGGGTTTTATTTTTATGTATTTATTTAGGATTTGGGGCAGGAAATTTTATTTATTTACTATATGCCATACTTTTTGCTGGGGATTTTGCAAACACCAGCTCAATTTATCTTCACAACAATGCTGATCCATACATAGTAGCACTCTGGTTTTCCAAATGAAGACATTAAGTCTTACCTACAGAAGTCGAAGACGTGTCCCAGTTCCACAGCTGGCAAGAGGAGCCAAGTTTCACTACCAGGTCCATATGACGCCAAAGCAAGATCTTTTCAGACGTATTTGCAGGCAGAAGGAAAAGAGCAAGGGAAGAAAAAGATGAAGGAATCAAAAGAATATATCTGGGGAGGGCAAATCCTAGACAAGGAGGGGGCCAAGAAGAGGGAGGAGAACTTGTCTTCTTTAAAGTCAAAAGTAGAAAAAAAGAAAGTGGGGTGGATGAAGATAGAAAGAACTGCTCAGGGAAGGGGCATCTCTGAGATGTATAAAGCTGAACAGCCTCGATCTTCATTAATTTGGGGTGAAGTCCCTGTGAAGATGGTCTACCTCCATGCGCTAGTCTTGAGGATATGGCATGAGTAAATCAGATGACGTCACCACCTCACAGAACTCAAAAGCTAGTCTACTGTCACAGACATTGAGGAACAATTTAAAAATATTTAGTTGGCTATTTTAAGTCCAGTGTGTGCTAGAGAGGTTTGGGAAGGGTGCAGAACAGCTACTCTGGAAGAACGAGCAGGAATAGGGTGAGAAACAGGCAAAGACTTGTGAAGTCTTAGGTTCCAGCTCCTGGACAAGGCTACGATGCACCAGGAATGGAGCAAGA